ATGAAAATTCATTCTAACATTTTTTCTATTTGTATATGCGTTTGTTTTACACCTAAAATATAACTTGAAAACTTGAATGTAAATTATATAAATAAAAAAAGTCTCTTTATTATTGCAAATTGCTATAAACTAAAGTCTATTGATGCAATTTACGAACTTGCGTTAGTCGGTTTGCAATTTCAATTTCTTTGTAATGCAGGAAGGGTCTTTTAGGGTAGTCCTTGGTCCCGAAGGTTAAACGACGTATCAGGTACAATGTCGCCTTTCAAGATGGAAGAAAAACCGGGGTTAAAGTTTATGCCATTTTAAAGGGGTGTATTCAAGGTGTAGTGCCGCTTTCGGGTGGAAGAATGGAAGATGGTTTTTTTTCTAATTCCACTTTGATGAAATAAAAAATAGGTTTATGGCGCAATGCCATTTGTATTCAAGGCGTAATGCCACTTTTAAATGGAGGAAAAAAAATGAATTTGTTACATTTTTAATTATCAAGTGTGTGTTGGAAATTCGGTGGTTTTTATACTTTTAAGCTTCCACTGCGGACGGAATGTAAAGTTCCGGCGGAACAGTTGTGTAAGTATGTACGTTATACGAAACAAAAAGAAAATTCTAGAATATGAAAAGTTACAGTGTGCAATTCGTTACAGAAAGTCCAAATTAACTACAGTAACTCATTTATTTAACTCTTGTAATTCTCCTACATTATGTCTTACATAAGCAAGGCCATTTGCAGCACGTACGCAGTACAAATTTGTTATAATCAGAAACTGGTGCTACTTACCGAAGACATTTCTCCGGAACACCATCTGTGATCTTTGGACCAATAATCTATTCAGTTATTTTATACATTCATAAAAAATGTCTAATCTCGATCTTCTTAACGCTGCACTATCAGCTATAATGACGGGCCAAAAATTTGTTTCGAAAAAAGAATATAGCGGAATGTCTGACGGCACCGTTTATCAAAAAGTTGACATGAATTCTTTTCATCAATTCAATCTTGTTGGTGACGCTCTTTCTATGTCCAATGTTCCCGATAGTACACAAGAATCTAATCTTTCTAGTAGTACTCCTAAAATTTTGTATGTACGTGCACTTAATGGCGAGACCATTACTATAAAAACTGGTACAAATTTTACCATCGATCAGGTAAAGCAGAAAATTCGTGATAAAGTAGGTATTCTACCAGATCAACAACGCTTAATTTTCGCCGGCAAACAATTGGAAGATGGTAAAACCCTCTCGTATTATAATATTGATAATGGATCTAATCTACACCTTATTATGCGTCTTCCTGGTGGTGGATGTGTAATAAGTTGCTTGGACGTTGACACATTGGATCCAATTTATGATTACGATTTTACAAATATCAATGATAATGAGAAACAACACTATCGTGGAGGAGTTCAGTATCGAAGACCATGTGGATGGAAACGCTTTGCCTTAAAGGTTGCCGGAAGGTATGATGATGGGGATGATGAATGGCTTGGAACCGACCAAAGTTCTTGGCCAGTATCGTATCATGGTACTGCAAAGCATAATGTGAGATCAATTGCAGAAGATGGCTATTTGTTAAGTAAGGGAAAACGTTTTGCTTTTGGTCATGGTATTTATTCAACACCTGATGTGAACGTAGCCGAAATGTACGCGCCAGAATTTGATTTTGAAGGGGAGAAATATGTCGCAGTATTCCAGAATCGAGTGAGCCCATCGGATTTAGTGAAAATTGAGAGTCAAAAGACTGGTTATGGCGAATACTGGGTTTCTCCACGAGTCGAAGACGTTCGACCATATGGAATTTGCATAAAAAAGATAGTAGCATCACCTAATAGTAGTAGTTCGAGTTTCCTTTTCTATTTTTTGAAATTCATATCGACACAGCTGGATTTCAGTATTCGCTAATTATTAAGAATGAATTTACATCATGTTTTTCTTCTACACCAACAACATTTATTTGTTGTGTATTGAATTTTTGACAGTGTTTAAAGTGTTGCGTGAAAAAAATTAACGTGAAATTCATTTTGGCGCATTGTGGCTCCTATTGACATTACCATATCTTTTATTTATTTTTAAACACGTTTAACTTCTATCATACAAGCATCATCTCAATATGAGAAAAATTAGAAAAAAAATATTGTTTGACTCGGCTAGTTTCAACACGTACAAGTAAGTATTTGCTCAGTGTTTACTGTTTAGAACTAGTAATACGGTACTATTTAACTTATTTTATTATTATTATTTTTTTTTTTTTAACTTATTTTACCAGTTACTGTACAGTCACCTGCAAAAGTAACTCCCGATTTTCTTATAAAAATCAGGCGTTACTTTTGCGGGTGAAACTGTACATACAGTATAATTTGACTAATTAAACATATTTGTATATTATTTATGACTTGTATCAGTACCAATTGATAATGTTCTTCACAACTTTTTTAAATTGCTAACTTATTGAATATAATTAAATAACCAAAGATTGAGTCTATGAAAATTCTCACCAACATTTTATAAATTGCTATAAACGGCAACTCATTGGGAGTCTTGCGCTGTGTTGGTCGGTTTCAATTACAATGTGTCTGGTCACACTGGATGAGTTTTTTGTGATCGAGGATTGTTATCCGAAGCAATAGTTTTCGGGGCGGTGTCTTTAGGTTCAAAGGATGTATTCAAAGCATAATGCCATTTATTATCCAAGGTATTCAAGGCGTGGTGCCGCTTTTAATGGAGAAAAATTTTTTCTTGGCAAAATACAGCTTTAAAAAACGAATCCATTTTCAAGACGCGATGCCCAATTGTATTCAAGGCGTAATGCCGCTTTTTAAATGGAGGGAAAAAAAGATAGATTATTACATTTGAATTACTGAAAATTTTATGTGAAAGGATGGCAATATTTATAACTTTTGAAGCTGAAATCCATTATGAAATCGTGTCGTGCAATTTGCGGCTGCGGCAGAATGCGAAGTTTCGATGGAATAAAGTTGTGTAATACACGAAAAATTCTATTTTCAACCGTTATCTTGTATGTCATCTTACATAATCTTAATGCTAGGTCAAAATCCAAAATCGGGTTTGACTCATTTTGACTTAGGTGTTTCACAACAATATATCTCAAATAGGGTTTAAAATCTGATGTAATTTTGCATAAATATATTTTTAGAAAAAAAGTTAAAAAATATCCACATTAAATATTATAGTTGATATATAGCGGTAAATATTATATTAAAAATTATAAATATTAAAATATTAAAATTAAAAATATAATAATACTTTTTTTTATTTAAACAAAAACATATATTTATATTATAAATTATATAATTTAAGATTTATAAATTAAAAATTATTTGTTTGTTATAACTTAAAATTGCTATATAAATTTAATTGAAATATATTAAATTGAAAATTTAAAAATTCAAACATTATATCTTACTTATTATTAATATCTATTAAAAAAAATTTTTTTTAAAGTAGATAAACATTATCATTTTATTAATTGTAAAATTGTTTAAAATTTATACATAGAGAAAGCAACAACATCTCTTATATAACTTGCTAAGCTAATAAGTCTAATGCTAGCTTGTCTACAGAAACTATCTAAGTGACATGGAAAATAAATA